CTGCCCGGGTCCCACTCTGGGGGGCACCGTCTCTGCCCTGCACCTGAGGGTTGATGTCACACCCCACAGTCCGAGGGGTCATCACCTTCCCTTCAATCCCCGTGTTCTCCAACCTGCTCTCAGTCCCCGTGACAGCAGCACCTGTCTGGTCACCCACGCCAGAAACCGGGCACCATCCGTGACTCTCCCTGTCCTTCAGCCCACACGTCTGACCCGGTCACTTCGGACTCCAAGCCATCCTGCCTCGCGGTGTCTCTCGGACGCCTCCCCTTCTCCCGACGGGCCTTCCACCTGCAGCCTGGGGACCACTCTCAACCACAGACTCACCGCCAAGACGTCGAGGACACGGGCCGTGAGCCAGGCGCTGGGCTGTGCCCCCCAAGCCGAGCTGGGGTCCTGCTGTCACCCCCCACCTGTGCTTCTGCTGCTCCTGCCGCCAATGCTCCTCCCACCTCAAGCCTTTCCTGGACAACTCCTTCAAAGTCCCGAAACCCGCCCCCCCATCTTAGCTGTTCCTCGCTGGGGGCCCACGACCCCGTGCTCCCCGCCATGCATCAGGCCTCCTTTTCCCGCTATCCTGCTGGATGGGAGGACGTGACATCTGGTCCCACCAGGAGCCCCCCCTGCGCCCACACGGGGCCTGGCCGGGCACGTGCCCACCAGCACTGGTGGAATGAAGGGAGGACAGAGCAGACAGAAGAACCAGCTGCCTGCGCTGCCCCCCGCCTCCCGCGCCCCCCCCAGCCGCCACCCACCTGGCACTGGGCTTGGTACTTCTTGGCGGGCCGGCCCACGATGAAGATCTGGGAGGGTGGCAGCCCCAGCACGCTGTAGACAGAGATGTCCTTCGTGGAACCGTAGGCCGCGCTGATTCTGATGAAGCACTGGAACACATGGCCGCCGGCTTCACCCCGCGTCAGGAAGCGTCCCTGCAGGAGCCGCCCCTCCCGCCCCGCCCTGCACCCCAGGCAGCTCCCAGGGGATTCGGAACCTCAGCACCTCTGACCCCACTGGACAGGGTGCTACAGGACCCAGGCCCAGGACCGGAGGCCGGGTGTTCCCCGCCCGCACCCCCCAGACTGTGGGGCTCATGCAGCTCGTCGGCCGGCCACCCCTGATGCTCACCCTCCGGCTGCTCACTTTGAGCCCCCACTCTGGTCCCACCATCGCTGGGGATAGCCCACTGACCACCTCGGCCTCCACCTTGGCTTCTTCAACGGCAGTGGCCTCCAGGGCTGAACCCAGAACTGCCTCTCTGGGCTCTGACGGTCCGCCTCCCCACTCCGCCCCTGCTCCTTCCCTCGCAGTCGCTCACAGCTTCACCTCTCAGGGGCCTGGGCCCTTCCTCGTCCCCAGCCCCCCCGGGCCACGCCTCCGCTGCTGATGACCTCCAGGCCTCTGCGCCTGCCTGACCTGGGCCTGACCCTGTAGACACGAGCCTCAGAGAACATCCCAGGCTCGTCTACCTCAGTGCCTTTGCACAGGCTGTTTCTTTGGCAAACTCACACGCAGGCTTCAGGACTCAGCTCAGAAGATGCCGCCTCCTAGAAGCCTTCTCTGCCCCCACCCCCCGCCCGGGCAAAGCCGCCTCAGTCCTCCTGTTTGCCCAGGGTCCTGTGCTAATCTGGGACCAGCACGTTGTCGGTTCACCTGTCCTTCCTTCCCTGAGTCAGGGACTGGCAGACTTTGCTGTGAAAGCCCAGATAATAAGTACCGTGGGCTCCGCACTCTCGCACCCACAGTTAACACCACGTAAGCAAATGATGTGGCCGGGTTCCAACGCAACTGTGTTTACGGGCACTGAAATCTGGGTTTGCTATCACCGTCACATCATGAACTGTGATCCTCCTTCTGATCTTCCCCCCAACCGCTGAAAGCTACAAAAACCATCCTCAGGTCTGGGTCACACACACCAAGGCTGTGGGCTGCACTGAGCCCCTGGGCCCGCCCTCCATCAGCGGAATGCAGAACGCAGACCGTGGGGCCCTGTCCACCGTGTCTGATGCAGGAGGGGGAGGCAGAGCGTCTACCCGTCTAAGGAGCTCCCAGGGGACGCTGTGCTGGGGCCTGGGTCCCACGGTGAGGACCGCTCCAGGTCACAGCTCGGGAGGAGAGGACGGCTCGGTGCCCCGAAGCAGGACCCGGGCGGAGCACAGTGGCCACTTAGGTGTCCACTGAATGAATAACCAGAGACAGAGACAGAGTTCAGGCTTCGGGGGCAGGAGATAAAGGAGGACGCGTGTGACTCAGGAATCGTGGGTGAATCACCGAGCCCCAGTGAGCCGCGTCGTCCTCACGGGTCCCTGCGGACAGCACCCACCTTGCGGAGCTGTGCGGGCTCCCAGCGAGACACACGGGTGTGCTCTGCACCCAGGCGCGGTTGCAGGTGGAGGGCGGAGGCGAGGAGCGTGCAGCAGGGCCTGGGGGCTGATCTCTCCCCTTCCCGGCTGTGGCGACTCACCTCCTGCACGAGGTTGCGGAGGAAGATGGCCTTCTGCCGCAGTGGGTCATGCACCAGCCCGTCCGAGAAGAAGATCATGCCCTGGGGGAAGTTGTGCTGGGAAAGCCAGGACACCACCCGCTGCTTCTGCATGTCCGGCCGGCCCGTGATGTACAGGATTAGGTAGCCCAGGTCCTGCCAGTGTCTGTGGACACACAGCAAGGGGGGTCCAGCCCCCACCCCATGCACCTGCAGCCCCCACCCCCCCTGCAGCCCTCCTGAGGAGCCCCTGGGGAAGGACTCCAAAGCCACACTGGGGCTGGGCCCCGGGAGTCCCGGACATCTCCCAGATGGCCAGCAGACACCGCATGCCCACCACCAACTGACCCCCACTGCTGCCCCCTCTGCTCCTCCCCTCCTTCCAGCAGGATCTGACCACCCTCCCCTCAGCTTGCTTCTCTGCCCTGGCTCACAGCTCCCCCACTCCAACCCAGCCCGGGCAGCCCCCCAGGACTGCAGGCCCGTCTGCAGGGTGGGGGCACGGGGGAACTGCCACCTAGGGCTGACCTAGGGCCGACAGCCAGGCCTGGCAGGGCGTGCTCCTGCAGGCTGCGCTGGGGGGCCGCTTCCTCCTTATCCTTGGGGCTGTTTCCACGGCGACATCTGTCAGTCACAGACCTATCCCCTCACTCCATCCTGGCTCCCTGCCGTGTCCTCAGGTCTCCCTCCTCTGCGCGCCTGGGGCCCGCCCCTCCACACACACAGCAGCTTTGCTGCCCACAAGCCTTGTGCTCTGCAGCTGCCGCCCCCTCCCCTGCACAGCCTCCCTGGCTTCCTCTCTTCCCGTGCCCATGCCCCTGTCTTTCAGGGCCCCCTCCTCCAGGAAGCCTTCCCAGCTTCCCAAGCAGAATCAGCCCCGCGGGAGGGTGCTCTCTGTTGACCTCACCCGGAATCCCGGCTGCAGGATGCCAGCTGGGCCCGACCTGCTGGGGCTGCTGGGGCACTAACCTCCCCCCAGGCTTGTCAGAGACTGGGGGTTTCCAAACCTGGAACCTGACCTGAGAGATCCGGGAGGTTTTGCAACAAAGCATGGGCCCAGGGGTCACCCCGGGGACTCCAGCGAGGTCTGAGCTGGGGCCCAGTCGCCTGTTTATCAAGAGCAGCTTCTGATGAGTGGCGAGGTTTGCAGAGTGCCACCGTGGCCCAGGCACCCAGGTGGACAGGCCCAAGCGCTGGACGGGTCCCGGGGGGGCAGGACCACAGTCTCCCCTTCCCAGCTGTGGGAGGGGGACGCTCACTCACTCATTTGGGCGGGGGCTGGAGATGTCGTAAGAGAAATGAATGCCCCCCCCCAGCGGGAATTGGAGCCTGTCCAGGGCCTGCAGGACCAAAGGGCATCTAGCGGTCAGCTGACTCTGGGAGCCCCTAACCCAGGCTGGCCTGCTCTCCCCACAGTGCCCGCAGCTACTGCGTGCAAGCAGAGCCTGGGCTCTGTCCTGCTCTTGGGGTTCTGTTCACTTGGAATCCTGGGTTACGGTTTCTCGTGCCCGTGACTTGTCTTCCCCATGGGACTGAGCTTCCTCCCTCTAGGAGTTCTGTCTGCCTCAGTTCCCAGCTTGAGCCTGGAAGGGTGGAGGCAGGGAGGGAGGGAGGGGGAGAGAAACAGGGAGGAAAAGCATGTG